TATTATACAAAATGGGTGAGCCTGGAGGACATTATGCTGTGTGAAATATCTTAGTTGCAAAAGGACAAATATTGCATAGGGCCACTGTTGTAAAATAGGACTGACATCGGGGTGGAGGGAAGACTGAGAAATAGGAGATAAATAATGTATACTGCATTGAAACAGATGAGGAAGAGAACTGTTTAAAAGGGATATGTGATTAGATATTTTTGTCATGACAGTGGTCCAGAATGAATGCTGCACAGTGGAGTGGACTTGGGGGGAGGGATTGTATAACAATGAAAGAATTTTTCTTTATTTTTCAAAGAAAAGAGCGAATTGGGGAGGAGAGGGGGTAGGGGGAAAAATGCAACAATGAATGAATGGAAATCCTAAGTCTCTGTAAACTTTCATTAAAATTAATAAAAAAAGAAAATGTTTTTGTTTTAATGAACACAATGTTTATCATTCTGATATACATCACCACTCCAACCTCAACTCAAGTAACTTTAACTCAACCTCCTTGCTGTCCAGTCGGAACCAACTCATAGCTGACCCTCTACTGGGTTTTCAGGCCGCTATAAACTTCACGGGAGGAGACTGTCCATCTTTCTCCCATGGAGTGGCTGGTAGATAGGAACCTCCAGAATGCACTGCTGGTAGGTAAGCAGTGCAACTAACTCCCTAGGAACCATAACACTAGAGCTCTCTTCCCCTCCAACTTTACTGGGTTCACTTACATAGTATCTTGGAGTTGTGAGGTGCCCCAGAAACCTGCCAAGCTAGGATCACGTTAGGGCACATGGAGCGGGCAGGCAAGTAGGCTGTTGAATCACTCTGCCTCCATTGTAAAAATAAGGAGTTTCAGGCGATAGAACGAGGATTAGGGGACTTTAATTTCTACTCATTTTGGCCTGGGGGGCATGGTGGCCTCTGCCTCTTCATATCTTTTCCCCTGCCTTCTCCAGCCCCTTCCCCTCCAGAGCCCTTCCTAAACAATGAAGTCATTCTCTTTGTGGGATAAATATCAAACCTTCCAGGTGCAAAAACAATATAGTTCTAACCCCTTAAGTATGTGGCAAGGGCAGTGGAGAAGAGAAATGAAAGGAGTGGGGGCAGGACGGCCTTGCTTGTTTCTTTCATTAATAACTGGGTTCTCCAAGACCACTCCAGTTCTGACAATCCGACCCTTTGCCCTCCCAGGAAGGACCCACCTGAGTGAGTGGTCACCAGGGCTGGATCACTTCTTCTGGCCGAATCCCCTCCCCCTGGCTTCTTCTGATTTCTTTCCTTCTTTTAAAATATTTCTTAAATCACTTCCATGTGCCCTGGGGCTGGGACGGCAAGACTGTAGACTCCCACAGGCAGCCTGTGAGTCAGGTCCGGCCCCATGGCTCCAGCCTCCTTGGAGAAATAAAAAGCAGACGCCTCTCCTTCTCAAAAGGAAGAATCCAGGCTGGAATGGCTCCTGCTGCTGGCACATAGTGACATGTTGTGACTAAGCCAGGTCACAGTGAGTCACACACAGCAGGGAAGGTGTCACACTCGCCCTATCACCCACAGTGGGCCCAGGAGTGGTATGTGAAGTGAGTCTGAGACAGCTGTGTTTGTTATACACATAGGCTATCACCAAGGGCTGATTGATTTTGGTAAGTGGGAGAGGGCATTGATGACAAGGGAACAGAGTGTGCAGAGCCAGGCTTCCAATGGTTCATTAGGCTTCACCCTCTACTAAGCGTCTGTGCATGTTTCCACCGATTCTGATTGTCCTGGGGTTGGAATCCCAGCTCCTAGCTCAGTTAATTGACTTTGGACAAGTCACTTAACCTCTCTGAGCTTCAGTTTTCTCATCTGTAAAATTGAGGTCATTTGTACATTAACCACCTCTAAGTTTGCGGTGAAGACCCTTTTAGAGAACTCCTTCGTGCCCTGCCAGAAAAAGGTGTCCTATCAGCACAGTGGGTAGCTAGTTCAAACCTACCAGCCACTCCATGGGAGAAAGATATTAACAGTCTGGACTCTTAAAGGTTTATAGACTTGGAATCTTAAATCGAAGTGCTTCTCTGTATTAGAAGACAATAATCAACTCCATGACAGTAGCAGTCAAGAAAGTAAACAATGTATGCATTGGGGAAATCTGCAGTTGAAGACCTTTTAAAAGCACTAGAGAGCAAGTATGTCAGTTTAAAGACTAAGGAGCACCTTAGTCCCAATGCTTAGATCCAAGCATTTTCAGTTGCTTCCTATGCATGTGAAAGTTGGACAATGATTAAGGAAGAGTGAAGAAGAATTGCTGCCTTTGAATGATTGTGTTGGCAAAGAGTATCGAATATATTATTTGTCAGAAGAACAAACAATTTTGTTTTGGAGGAAGTGCAACCAGAGTGCTGTTTAGAAGCAAGGATGGTGCAACTTTTTCTTGCATGCCTTGAACATGTTGTCAGGAAGGGTCAGTCCTTGGAAAAAGACACTGAATTTGGAAAAGTGACAGGCCAGTGAAGGAGAGAAGGACCTTCAAGGAAATATATTGATACAGTATTTTACAGGATTTTACTCTGCTGTAAATAGGATTATAATGAATTAGAACTAACTTGATGGTTCAAAACAGCAACGTGAGTAAAAAATGATTCTGTAACAATGGGATGGGTTGGCTTTGGTACAAGGTGTACATTGACAGAGAGCTGCCAGAAGTGCAAGCTGAGTTTAGGAAAGGCTGTGTAGCACTAGGAATGTCACTGCCAATGTTGAATGGGTCTTTGCTAAGAGCAGAGAGTACCAGAGGAATGTCTATCTGTTTCATTGATTATGCAAAGGCATTTGACTGTGCGGGTTATGACAAACTGTGTCTAACATTGAGAAGAATGTGAATCCCAGAACACCTGTTTGTGATTATGCTAAACCTATACATGGATCAGGTATTATTCCTCAGAACACAGTAAAGATACACTGTATCATTCAACATTAGGAAGGGTGTATATCAGGCATACATCTTGTCTCCATAACTTTTCAATCTATATGCAGAACATATCATACAGAAGGCTGGACTTCATAAAAAGAAATGTAGCATCTAGAGGAGGATTCATTAACAACCTGCAAGATGCAGATGACTTGTTCACTGAAACTGAAGGGAACCTGAAGTGGTTGCTGCAGAAGATCAAGAACTGTTGTCTTCAATATGGATTGAAGCTCAATATCAAGAAGAAAAAGATTCTCACCGCAGGGTCAATTGGCAGCACCATGACGGATGGGGAAGAGATTGCTAACAAAGAAATTGTTAACAATTTCAGCTTGTTCAGGTCCATAGTCAACAGTCTTGGTACCAGCAGTTAGGAAATCAAAAGACAAATTGCATTGGAAAAATCTGAGAAAGTCAGTCTAGAGACTAAGGTGTGCCTGTTCCAGGCCATGGTCTTTATAGTTTCTTGCTATGCATCAGAGAGTTGGAAAATGAATAATGGATGACAGAAGAACAATCAATGCTTTGGGTTGTGCTGGAGAAGCATGTTGAACATACATAACAGGGACTACCAAGAGAACAAACAGGTCTGTCCTGGAGAAAGTGAAAGCAAGTTGCTCCTTGGAGGCAAGGATTTTGAAGCTCCATCTTACATACTTTGGCCATGTTGTTAGAAAGGACTCAGTCCTTTGAGAAGGACATCATACTTGGAAGGGTGGAGGGATAGCTCAGGAGAGGGAGTCCCTGGATTAGATGGCTTGACACATTGACTTGGGTAATGGGGGTAGATGTACTAAAGACAGGTTGGCTCAGGATAGGGCAGAGTTCAGAACTATTGTGCTAAAAGTCACAGTCAACTCGGCGACACATAACAAGAACAACAACAGGACTCACCCACTATTTTCTGATTGATTCTGACTCACATAGACAGACCTGTAAATGAAAAGTTACACTACAGTGGTACAAAAACTATAATGGAAGTAATACAGACATGATGTTGTCAAGGCAGAGAGGTGAGGTGGTGATTAGGAAAGGAGAGACATTTATTTGAGTTTGAGGTTCCAGTGGGAGATGTTCACGGACATCCAGAGTTTATAGCAATTTGGGCAGACAATTGAAAGTCTCAGCAAGAACGCCATACTTCTGCCTGGCTTTGCACACTCTGCTCCCTTTGTCGTCAATGTCCTTCCTTACTTGCCGTTCAACTTTCAGCTCAAGCTCCACTCGGCAGACTGCAGTAGGGAGCCTGTTGTATTCCCAGTGCTGTAGCTGGCAGTAGAACACCTTCAGGAGAAGGGTGAAGTAGTCTCCTGAACAGCCTCAGAAATCCTCTGGGAGGGTCGCCGTTGAGTCGGAATTGCATGGAGGGTAGTGGGTTTGGGTTTTACTTGGTTTCATTTGGTGTTTGTCATTGTATCCTGGCCCTTCCCTCGTCTGTGAATTCCGTGAGGGTTGGGCTCAGCTTCGATCACCTTTGCGCCCGCTTGGCAAGAGCGGTGCCAATATCTGTTTACTGAACGAATCAATGAAAAATGAACTTTAGTCGGCCTGGAGTCAACTTGAGGAAGCATCACAAAAAGCTAGCGATCTCAGGTTACCGTGCTCTGAAGTTAGGTCCTGGGTTCCCCTCTACCTTTTATAACCCAACTTTTGCAGACTCCTTGCTCTTCTCGTGAACTTGAAAGCTAAAGGAGAGGAAGAATCGTGCAGCCAATAGGACAAATACAAATCCCTGCGGACACCCCGCCCCTTCTGTTCTAGACTCCGCCTCTCCATGTTTTGTCCGAGTCTGACGACCACGCCCATCAGGCCGCATGCGCAACGAGTGGGCAAAAACCCTCCCTTGCCCTTCCTTTCATGGCGGGCGGTGATGCCCTTCCCGGCATCCTCCCTGGGAGTAGGAACGCATCACTTCCGGTGGGGAAGGCCCGCGGCCTCTGCCGCCATTTCGGGCGCTGCTGGGAGGCTGAGACCGTAGCCGGTCCGCTGGGCGGCGGGCGCCGGGGCCGGAGGGACGTGCGCGGAGACGGCGGCGGCGGCCCAGCGTGTAGGCGCGGAGGCGGCCATGGCGGGCAACTTCGATTCAGAGGAGCGGAGTAGCTGGTACTGGGGGCGGTTGAGCCGGCAGGAGGCGGTGTCGCTGTTGCAGGGCCAGCGGCACGGGGTGTTCCTGGTGCGGGACTCTAGCACCAGCCCCGGGGACTATGTGCTCAGCGTCTCCGAGAACTCTCGCGTCTCCCACTACATCATCAACAGCAGCGGCCCGCGCCCGCCGGTGCCGCCGTCGCCCGCGCAGCCTCCGCCCGGTGAGGGACACACGGGACGGGAGGCCGCGGGCGGGGGTGAGGGCCGTGCAACTCTCCATCCTGGCCGACGGCTTCTCGTAGCTGACCTCCGCCGAGGGTCGTGGGCTGAGTGATGGAGGCACGGGGGCAGTGGGAGGCCTGCTGCCCGGTCCCGTTCCCACCGATGAGAGGGAGTGTGCGGGGGAGGAGGCGGAGGGCTGACCGAGGCCTCTGGGTGTGACTTGGGAGGACGGCCCGGGGGAAGGGGAACTGCTTCGGCCCCAGGGTGGGGCTAGAGCCCCAGCCAGGCTGCAGAGGCTGCGCTGGAAAACGTGGGGACAAAGAGCTGAGGGGGATGTTGGCACTGCGGGGGCATCACTTGGCAGCGGCACCCAGAATGAATTAGATAATCCTACAAGTGGCTTTTGGGCTGGAAGCACTTCCTGCAGTGTTGGAGAGCCGGCTTCGGCTGTACTCCCCTGGTGGCCTTTGGTAGGAAGTCACCTCATACTGCCTGGGAGGGATGGAGACAGCCTCAGGAAACAGGTCAGCTTTTCCCTTTCTTGGACATTTTTTCCAAAATTCTCTTAACCATCTTCTTTTCCCCGTGGAGGACAAAGGTGGTCCTCCACCTTAAGAGCAATTCAAGAGAAAAGTGACGTCTGGCCAGCTGTGCCCAAGAAATCTTAGTGGCCAGAACACAGCCCTCTGCAAGTAAGGGGTTCCGTGTTCTCTAGGTGCTTGATGAGGATCTCTGCAAAATAAAACAGAAATAAGCAAATGAGAAGCATTCTTTCCCTAAAAAGTGAATGGATTTTCTTTTTCCTTGAATTTGAACATTATATTTCATTCTCTCCTTGCTCAGTCAGTTGGGGCTCTCGCTTGAGTCTTAATGGAAATTGGGAACAGACCAAGATGAGTCAGAGTCTCTTGAAAGTTAAATTAACTGCATTGGGTTTTTATTTTTAATTAATGATTATTGAGATTTGACTCGATTGATTAGTAAGGAGTTTTGTGGGGTTCAGAGTAATTCAGTAGTATCTGTGTGATATGACAAGAGCCCTAATGCATTTCACTGTTCCCAAGTTGAGGTAGATTCCTCCTGACCACCCAACATCCAGGCCAGTGTCATATGAATGCAGAGGCTCCTGAACCAGCCTTTGCACATCTATCTTTTTAGGCTTTCCCTTTGTTATTTACTTAGTTCATGTTGTAATTGTTATGTGCCATCAAGTGAAAACCAACTCAGTTGGTCCTCCATCCAGTTTTCAGAGGCAGTAAATCACAGGAAATTGCCCATTACCCATCTTTCTCCCTAGGAGTAGCTGGTGGATTTGAACCATGTTCCTTTGAGTGGACAGCGCACCTCATTACCCACTAAGTCACCAGAGCATCGTGTTTTAACACATTGTTGCTGTTATATACCATCAGATCAAAACAGACTGATAGCTGACCCTCCTGTGGGTCTTCAGAGGCAGTAAATCACACTGAAGTACGTTACTCATCTTTCTCCCATGGAGCAGCTTGTAGATTCAAATTGTGTGCCTTTGGACTGTCAAGCACACCTCCTTACCACAGAGAGAGCTACCTGCTTTAATATAGAGGAAGTTTGCTGAGTGGAAGGAAATAGTTTTCGCAGTCTGGTTAATTTAATAAGCCTACTGTGAAATGAGATTGTTGATGTAACATACTTGCCCTTAATATGTATTGCCGACTCTCCTAAATATGTATATTCCATTTGATGTCACCTGCATGATGGTTATTTCTGTCACATACCGGGATACGGTGAAAAATTGTCATTGAAATTCAGACCTTAACATTTTGTTTGTACATTCTTGTTGCTTGAATAATTAGCAGTTGTTGCAAATGACTTGTTATATTGAATTTTTTCACACCTTGGCATGAATTTATTTCTAATACTCACTTTCCTATAGAACTCCACCTTTTCAAAACAGGTAAGAGTTTAGATTCTTAGCACAAAAGGGAAGTTTGTGAATGGGGTGTGGGAAGGTCATGGACATTGTGGCAATGCTTTCTTCACTGTGCTCCATTTTCTATGGAGAGTGATTGATTAGATTGCCCCCTTTGTAATGATTACTTCATCCCTGTTCTCCACCAAGCTCTTTTTCTTTTTAAACCATGCAGAGGAATTTCTAGAATCTTAGAGAAGTATATACAAAATTAATAGCTTACATTTTATTGACTGCCTGTGCTGTGCCAGGTACTTTGCTGAGTATGTTCTATGCATTATCTCATTTATTTTCTATAATAATCCAGTGAGGTAAGCACTATTATTTCCATTTAATGGATGAGGGAAATTGAAAATCAGAGATTTGTTAACTTTTCCAAGTCATGTAACTCGTGTACACCAGTGACAAAGCCAGAATTTGAACATGGACATTCCAACATAGGAGCTAACGGAATTGTATTCTTTCTTTCAAAGCCAGCTTCCTTTGGAATCCCAGGAGTGTATATAGAAGATTCACTCTTAAACACTTTGGTCTTTGCTCTAGAGTTCCTTGTTCTGTTAAAAGATTAAAAAGAAGAAATAGCAGGTTGAAAACTGCCTCAGCCAGGAAACATCTGCTATCTAAAGGGTGAAGAGGCTTTAAAAGGCAAATTGAATATGGGAAATGAACTTTTTATTTAGAATTACATAGTGTATTTTGTCCGCATGGATAAAATTGATAAGAAATGACACAGCCATAATTTTTAGAGAAAGTAGAATAGACCAGGGATTCTCAACCCTGGTTTTTAAATAAGTTTTTTTAAGCTTCTCTAAAGTTTGTTGCATCTCTTCACAGATTTCATATGTTGCTATTGCCTGGAAGTGGCTATAGAGAGGGATTTGGTCAAGTCTTCAGGTCATGTTAGATTGAGTTTCACAATCGACCTCTTGAGATAGCCTCTGATAATTAATCCACTGACTTCTTCTTGAAACAGTGAGGGGCTTCCTGACCTTAACCAGCATCCTGTGAACAAGATTTAACTTCTATGGGTTAGGAGAGGAGTTTGGAGTTTGGGCTCTGGAGCTTAGGTTTGAATCTTAGCTGCCACTTAATAGTTAGATAATGATAATTTTCTCTACTTCAGTTTCTTCATTTGTGAAAGGGAAAATAAAAGTACTGATCTTGGAGGGTGGTTGTGATGATTAAATGAATTTAAGTATACTAGAAGTTAGAAATGAGCCCAGTATATCTTAAAAAATATTCGATATATTTTGAGGAGACCTATGAGGTGAAGGAGAGTTAAACCCAAATGGAAAACTGCTTTGAGGAGCTTACAAAGGCATTCCCTTTATTTTGGTGAGTGCTAGAGAAACTGTCAGAAAGGGTAAGTGTTAGGGGGAAATGCATCAGGAGGTTTGACAGGTGGATCCAGTTCTGGGGGACAGAATGGTACTTGCTGTTACTATTTAATTCAGAGCCTTTCACATCCTGCCTCAGTGGATGAGGGTAGTGTAAGCTTGTCTCATTAGGGAGAAGGGATGAGAACTGAGAGTAGTAGTTGGCTGTATTACCGTTTCAAGGTTTTCAGGGTGGTTCTGAACCAGGCTGCTTCTCTGAAGATTGTGCAGGACTCCTGATTTACCTGCTGCTACTTTTTTTGTACCTTTTGTTTTCTGTCTTTCATATGTTTACTGCATCTCTGCAGTTCACAAACCTGGCCCTCAAGTCTTACTCTTCTTCATGTGCTTTCTCTTCAACATCAAAATATCCCTTTGTCTAGTGATTCTGGGAGTGTTCTCTGGATTACTCTTTGAGTTTACACTCCTCTAAAAAAATTGTGATTAAATGAATAGGTTTATTTATTGCAGGACTTATTGAAAGCGTTGCTATATCTGTGAATTATCGCCCTCGGGAGAGGCAGCTGTTGGATCTATGTTTTCAAGTCTCCTTGACTACAGAACTCCTCCTGACCCCCCATTTTACTTTAATAAACTCTAAGCCATAACACAAGAATGAATGGAAGTCATCACCTCCCACATACAGAGTTTCAGCCTTGCTCTTGGTCCATCATCACAGTCTACTACAGAACTTTTTGAAGACCCTCAGGGAGGGGAATTGACACAGTGCCTGTAACAGTGGGCTCAGGTATATCAAAGATGGTGAGGCTGTCATAGGACACGGCAAAGTTCAAATTTGTTGCGCGTTGAGATGCTTGAATGGTTCTACTTGACTTAATGGTGCCTAACAACAGCAGAAACACAGAACCTTTTTTATTAAACAAAACTTTTAAGCAGCACCTTAAGGTTCTATGGACTCTCTAGGAAAATGTGGCAGAGTCTGCATGCTGGGATAAACATTACTAAAGGAAATTTCAAAGGTTTGAGGTAGCTCCTAAACTACACTTACTTTTTGTTGATCACCAGTCATGTACTAGTCATTTTTTAGGAATTTTATTATATAAGTGTTTGGCCCAGTTTTACAGAATGAGATACTGAGGACAGAGAGGTTAAATAACTGGTCATATAGCTGTTAATGGGTCAGCTAGTAAATGGCTGATTCTGATGTATCAGAACCAGTCAAGTCTGAATCTACAGAGTACCATATTACTTTTAGAAAGTGGCCTGTTGATAAGAAGCTGCACTCCAATCCCAGAGACACCCAGTTTGAATCCACCAGCAGCTTCACAGGAGAAGAATGAGCAATCTCCTCTCATGTGATTAACTGCTTCTGAAAACCTGCTGGAGGGTCAGCTATGGGTCGGTTCCAACTCTGCGGCACAGAAGACCATGCATCATTAGGCTATTTTCTCAGGTGGAAGCCAGCAACCTTTTTAGCCTTTTATATCAGAGCATCTGGGAAACTTCATAGCAGCCATAGGGAGGATAGAGAAAGTGGCTTGACCAGAAACCAGAATACCCAATGGCTTGTGCTGTTTTTAAGGAGCTCTTGTGCAGTGGGTAAAGTATTTAGTTGCTGATCAATGCAGTTTGAACATGCCATCTACTCCAAGAGAAAGTTGAGCTAGCCTGTGGGGTATTTCTGCTCTGTCCTGTGAGGTCTGAGTTGAGATGGACTGGACTGATTTGGGTTTATATATTGATTGTGTTGTTTCAGAGCTGCACATGGAGAATCTAGCACAGGTGTGACGTAGTCAGTGAGGTTGTCCAGGTCCCACATAGCTGTGAGAACCCAGTTCCTGGTTCTGTTCTCTAGCCTCACTGACTGTATCTCCTTCCTTTCCCGCCCTTCTATTTCCTGCCTCTGACTGTTTGTGGTTGGAAGGAGATGAAATAGGGAAAAGGCGCAAGAACACATAACTGTGGTGAGGTTTAGGCTTATCTGGAACTTAAGTATGTTCTGTTCTCCCTTCTCTGGAGTTTATTTAGATCAGTGTTGCTTGATTGTCCCACCGATCTCACAGTCCCAGCAGTACGCAGAAATAGGCATTTCTCTGTGGAATTATTATAGAATGTTCTTAGAATAACTAGAAAAAATAGTTTACACATCAAGCCAACTGGTAGTTTCTGTTAATGTTTAGGTAAAAATTCTGTGTTTGGATTGCTTTGCAAAAAAACAAATTATGGTTGGCCCAGTTCACGTTCATTCTCTGACATTGGAAAAGAAGTTGAACCAACTTCTACTTTTGTGCCAGATGTGCTGCCAGTTTTTCTTTCTCTTTAGAATTCTTTTTACTGATCCTTCTAAGGGACTTAGCCTAGTAGTCTTGTTCTTTTAAATTGCTTCCCTGTCCCTTCACTTGTAGAGTAATAGAGGAGCCATAACAATGGATGGCAGGGAGTGGTTACCTTTCTTAAAGTGAAAGGGTAACTTGGAGATACTCAAGATATTCCTGCTCTTTTGTTGTGATTTTTTTTGTATGTCATTATGTATTTTAGTTGTAGAAGCACACCTTCACTTGAAGGGAAAACTGGGATATTCTTTAATATTCTGCTTTACTCCTTATTCAACACTATGCTTGTGAATGCCTTCATGTCCCCAGCTACGCTGTGAGCTTCTCACACTGCTTTTCAGTTTGCTTTTTCTCTCACTTCAGAGTTCTGTTGATTAATATCCAAACACTTTGTATTTGCTATCATATTTTGTCTGATGCTTTGGAGGGGCCATTTGAAGGTCAGGCAGACCTTAGAAAAAGGACATCTTGATTGGAAAGGTCAGCAGAAGGAAGACCTTCAAGGAGATGAACGGATACAGTGGCTGCAACAGTGGGCTGGAGCGCAGTGGAGATGGTGAAGGTGGTACAGGACCGGGCAGGGTTAGGCTGTCTTCTACATAGGGTCCCATTGAATTGATGTTGATTTTAAGATACCTCGAGCAGTAACTCTGGCTTCTCTCCCAGGGAGAGAGTAATAGGGAAAATAACTTTATGTGAACTTTATCAGGAGAGCGCCTGTGAGCTGTGATTATAAGAGGCAGGTCTCAGGGGAGCTCTGGTGGCCTAGTGGCAAGGAGCTGCAACTATAATCCCAGAGGCGCATGGTTCGAATCCACCAGATGCTCTGCCGGGGAAGGAGGGAAAATCTCCTCCTGTACCTGTCAGACCTGATTTGACGGTACACTCACACAAAAATAATAAAATTAAAAAAAAAAAAAAAGGCAGGTCTCTACCACTCAACCCTTGAGACCTTACCCATGCAGCTCACAGTGGTCCTGTCCTTTCTTCAGATCCTCCTGGTTTTGAATGGGAATAGTATCCTATCAGTGATCCATCCTACTGAAGATAGAAACTCCAGAATATAGCTCTGGTGTGATCATAACCCAAGTCATTTCACAAGTCCTACACTTGGAGCAGTTGGGGTCATTTATGCTACCAACCCTTCTGTTTGCATTGATGATAGGTAGTATTGGGCTCCACAGTTATTTCAGTTTGGGATTGAGAAAAGGTTAGCATTCTTGAATCTGGGTTGTTCATTTGTTTTAACTTAAAGCCGTGAATACCACAGATGAACTTTTTGTAATATAAGAAATGTGTAAAGTGCAACTACCTTTTTTATGGGTTTTGTTTTTCCCCCCATCATTTGTTTAAGTGACGTGAGGAGGTACTCATCCTGTTTGAGGACTTACTTCCAGGACTAATAGTTTTTACTTCTGTCTAGTTGTTATGTTCAGTTCATAGTGACTCTACAACAGAGACCCTGGGCCACCCTCACAGTCTCCAGCATGCTTTGGTTGTGTCAGTCCATCTTCTTGAGGGTCTCCTCTTTTGCTAATTGCCTGCTTTTCCAGCATGACCTTTTTCTCTTGTGACTGGTCCCTCCTGATAACATGCCCCCAAGTATGTGAGAGTCTCACCATGTTTGCGTCTAAGGAGCTTTCTGGCTATACTTTTTCCAGGACAGGTTTGTTTGTACCTTTTTGGCAGTCTATGATACATTCAATATATTTTACCAGTAATCACCACAATTCAAAGGCATCAATTCTAGTAGGGATCAGAATTTAATTTTTTAATTTTTTTAATTTTGGAAGAAGTATTTTTTAACATTGTACAAAAATATTTAGGTTTTCTTTTTTGAGAGTGGTATACTATACTTATCATCTGGGCTTCCGCAGTCCTGTTTGACAGCTTTAATCACTGGTATTTAGATGGGTGGGACAGTGCAGTGTTGTTAATAGTGGAGAGGGTAGATTGACCATTCTCCCTTAGCACAGGAAAGAGTCAGCATGGAAACCATTAAATACTTCATAGAAATGCTGTTTAAGAACTGGTAACATTTCCTCCTTCGACAATGCTGTAAAAGTCACTTTGACAAGCTAATAGAAATTAGGGTTCATAAGCCACTGTACAATTTTTTCCCCTTCTTGTGTACTGTTGAGTCGGATCTGACTGGAACAGGAAGAGATTGCCCCTCCTTCTCCAGCAGAGTATCTGGTGGATTTGAACCGCGTGCCTTTGGGATTGTAGCACAACCTCCTTGCACTAGGCCACCAGAGCGCGCTTGTACAAAATAGTTGAACTGCAATTTGGCTCAGTGCAACATAAGCTTCAGTGCTGCTTTTCAAGGAGTGTATCTTAAGGAAATAACCGAAAGTTCATTAATAGATAAGAAAAACAATACTCATAATAGCATTGGTTGGTATTACTTTATAAGGACTAAAATATTTGTTCTTAAAAAAAGTTTATGCTGGAGAAGGAGGAACAATCTCCTCCTGTACCAGTCAGATCTGATTTGACGGTACACACACCCCCCCAAACACACACACGCACACACATATAAAAGAATTAAAAAATTTAAAAAAAGTTTGGGAAAATTTTTCTTTTATAATAAGCAATTTTGTTTTCTAATAAGGGGAAAAAGAGTATAAAACTATATCTATAAAAAAAAGCAAAAAACAAACTATATCTATAATAACCCAGCTATAAAAGACATCCCTCTTCCTGGGGGGAAAAGAAGAGACATCTTTGTGTATCTCAAGTATAATCCAGAAATGCTAAATGTGGGCCTATGGTAGGGTTAATGGTAATAAAAACAAAAAATCATGCATATAAAAGTGCTTCACTCTGTTATGCTTGGTATTAGTTTATTTTGGTTGTATTTTAGGATCTAGTGCACAGTATTGTTTTAACATAAAAAAGTTATAATTTTTCATTGTTGCAGTTTTCTTCCCCCTCCCTCAGCCTTCTCTGCAATGCAGTCCTTGTTCCAGATTGTTGTCATACATAGTTTGTTTAAAGGTTCAGTGAAAATGGTTTCATAGTTTGAGTACTTAGTAGAATGCAAGTTACAGATTTATATTCCTCATTTAAACTATTTTACTTATTTGAATTGACTTATATTCATTTCTTAGGCTTGAATTCTAGAATCTCAGATTTTGAAGTATGTACCATGGCCAGGGGCAGAATCATACACATTTTTATCATTAATTTTGAGCATTCTTTAACGTGTCCTAGCTTTTGGACTTTCAGGTTTAATATTTCAGTGTTTTTTTATTTTTCCAAGCATCTTTGTTTACTTTTTTTCATGTTCTGTTTCCTTTTTAAAGAACATTCTGATTTCCATGTTTTCTTAAAGCTTTTACAATTGATAATTAAGCATTTAGCTTTTCATTTTAGATTTTTTGGGGGGGTTTTGGTGTTTTTATGTGATTGGGAGGGTTTTCCTCCTAATTAAGCGTATTTTAAAACTATCAGATGAAATGAAGATCATCAGTCTTAGATGAAAAGTGAGATGAAACTCTTAATATGTTTTTCTTTGTACTTGTTTATTCTATTTACAGTCTGTATGTATTTGGGGGTCTGGTGTATATTTACTAGGGATTGCTGGTGGCATAATCTGTAGCAAGTTGCACAGTTAATCCAAAGACTGCTCTTCGCTGGCCGTTCAAATCCCTGCAGGAGAAAGATGAGCTGTCTCTTCCCAATGTGATTTCCAGTCTCAGAAACATGTTGGAAGAAGGGTTACTATGATTCAGAACCAATTAGAAGGCAGTGAGTAAAGATACTAAGTTTTGTCTACCTCTTCCTGGAAAAAACTACTGGGTCCTTTTACAAAGGAGAGCCTGCTACATTTCATGAAGTTGAAAAAATTGATGCAAAACCTTGAACTTGATGATACTCTGTAAAGGAGATAGCAACAGACTACTGAGGGAATGAACAGAAAGTTGCTGTTGCTCCGGCTCTGATCCAGTAGGAGGAGGGCATGTCCTGACTGGCTGGTTTATCAGGGGGCCTTCTGTTTCCTTCTCTAGGGTGGGCGGTGATGGGCATTTTTCTTTCCAGGGAATGTTTCAACTAGAAAGGAGCCGTGTTTCAGTTTGATAGGAGGAAAAGGGTTTTTTTCCTGATTAGGTGAAATAGATTACCTGATTGATTAACTAGAATGTGAGTGGAAAATGTGTAACGTCTTATTTCATAGCAGCGAGCTGTAACCTAGAGGTCAGTGGTTTGAGTTGACTAGTTGCTCCTTGAAAGATGGCCAGTCTCTTTTTGTAAAGAAGCTCAGTAGAGGGAATGAGTTGGACTCCACAATAGGTTGGGGTTTTTTTAGCTTTTTTTTGATAGTACATCTTCAAATAATACTCTTCTCTGTCTTTTCTAGGAGTGAGCCCCTCCAGACTCCGAATAGGAGATCAAGAATTTGATTCATTGCCTGCTTTACTGGAATTCTACAAAATACACTATTTGGACACTACAACATTGATAGAGCCAGTTTCCAGATCCAGGCAGGGTAGTGGAGTGATTCTCAGGCAGGAGGAGGCAGAGTATGTGCGAGCCCTCTTTGACTTTAATGGGAATGATGAAGAAGATCTTCCCTTTAAGAAAGGAGACATCCTGAAAATCCGGGATAAGCCTGAAGAGCAGTGGTGGAATGCAGAGGACAGCGAAGGCAAGAGGGGGATGATTCCAGTCCCTTACGTCGAGAAGTATAGACCTGCCTCCGCCCCAGTATCAACTCTGATTGGAGGTAACCAGGAGGGGTCCCACCCACAGCCACTGGGTGGGCCGGAGCCAGGGCCCTATGCCCAACCCAGCGTCAACACTCCGCTCCCTAACCTCCAGAATGGGCCCATTTATGCCAGGGTTATCCAGAAGCGAGTCCCTAATGCCTACGACAAGACAGCCTTGGCTTTGGAGGTACATAATGTGCAAAATGTAGAAAGAAGAGATCTGCTGCAGGGTCTCCCTTTCAGACCTCTTAGAGCTTTGTAGGAATGCTGAATACAAGCAACAGCATTGTGATAATGTTGTAGATATTGAACTGATATTGGCATTAAATGTTGGAGGTTTTCTTTTTTATAAGAAAACCTATTTTGGAATAAGTAAGCTTAAAACTGTAATTGAATGTTGTGATTGATCTACTAAATAACTGACTAATAACATTACCTGAATTCATAGGAATTAACCCTAAAAACCCTTTTTCTCATCTACATCCTACTCTGTTTCTTTCTATTTGTCATTGTCTTAAAGGTGGATTCACACAAATTTGAGTGTAATACATGGTTTTTTAATCAAAACATTCAAATGAAACATTCTCACAAAAATGTATTTTTACTTTAAAGGACTTGAGATTCTTTACCATTAATTGCATTTAGTTGAGTAAGAATTCTGGAGGGGACGGACAGGTATGAGGAGGTTCATACCCATATGATTCTAAGGGGCACAGGTTTACTTGGCTTTTGTTTTTTAATTCATGTTATAGCTAAGAAGCCAGTTCCTACTGAGGAGTTAATGTTTACCTTTTACTCGTTAATAGTTATCATTGGTAGCACATTTCTGGCTAACAATTTATATTTGTTCCCCTCTTCAACACTAGTATCTCTTTTCTTTTTTTCATTTTCTTTTCTATTTTCTTGAGTCATTTAAAATTGGTAGTTAAGCATAAAATCTAGAACAGAATTGGCTTGCTGTCCTAGCTTTCATGGTATCTTGGATGCAAGTGAGTAGCTGACTGTCAAGCACAGGATGGAGTTATAAGCACAGCTTATCAAAGGAGGGGCAAAAATGTGTTCTTACAAGCAAGAGTATTGTCTAAACATTATTTTCATTGAGTTATGTTCATCTACTGAGGAGTAGGAACTGCCCACTAAATGAGAGTGTTAGTCCTGAGTGATAGCCTAGATAATGAGCTAGAACTTAATTTGGACCAAGCTCTAATATTACTGAAGTTGAGATTTTTTTTTTTTTTTAGGTTCTGATCTGACAGGTAAGAAAGGAATATACTAGGTGAGTCTTAACAGATTTGACTGAAAATGTGTTTTTTAGTTACATATTTTGAGATAATTTTAGACCTACAACTATCATGTCCCAGCTTTGAAAAATTATTTGTGGTCTAGGTCGCACTAATTTTCCTACTTAAGGCGATAAAAACAACAGAAGCCTCTAGCATTATGTTTTCATTTAAGTTTAGATGTTTTTTTACACTAGCCTCTGTGCTGTGCACATGATGGATGGGACTCTAAACTATTGTAGACCTTGTTAGCCCTGGGCTGGGATGTGAAAGTGACATTCCTGGAACAAGCCAGCTGACACCGAGGAGAGAATAGTTGTCACATTAATTTTGCTTCTACTTGCATTTTCTTTCTCAAAGAGAATTGTTTTTAATGATGCCTGTTGTTAAAGGCTTCACTCTGCTGAAAAATGGTTGAATTTTTCTCCCTGCCATAAAATACAAATCTTACGAAATAAAGAAAACTAGTGTGTGATTTCAGGAAGTTGGATTTTCTGGGATTGCTTTATTACTGAAGATGGGCTCTTTGATAATATGCCCCAAGTAATAGCTTTAAAATACTTTTTCTTATGTATGATTTTGTTTTGTTGTTTGTTTTTTTTTTAAAGTGTTAATTTTGCATCATAGAAATCAAGAACTGAAGAGCCCTTTATAGGTTTCTTAAGGTGATACATGGGGGGCCTCCCTAAAAACAAAGCAAAAAACCCCCTTATATTTAGAGAAGTTTAAACTGTTTGTTCAAACTAATTGGAAGTGGACACATAACAAGCCCGGATTTAATTTGGTGTTCATCTTACCTTATTAAAATCCATTGAACGTTTCCTTTTGTTTTACAACAGGATATCCTTAGCTGCACTGTCTGTATAGACACAGTGCCCCCTCCCCTCTTCTCTACAGGTTTTCATAGATGAGATACCTGGTCTCTGTTATTTCACAACTAGGAGACGAGTAGGAGATAGACTTTCTGAACGTAGCATTCTGATGAAAAAGAATGCATTGCTATTTTAAAGGAGAAATTAACTTGGGTGTATAAATCCAGGTGTGTAGACCAACTAGGCACATTTCAATGGAGTAGTATATTGATAGTGTATAAATTAGAATTGTTGAGTTTTAGAATTGGGCAGGATGCTGGATATATTTGACCAGCCAGCAGTTTTCATACTGGCAGACTGCTCTTCAGTGTCTTATAAGTCCTCAGCACATGCCGAAAGAAGATGCAAGACTGCTTTCTCTTTCTTTCTTCAACCAAAGCCACTCTGCTTAGCTGTTACATACTGAGGTCTTGCTCATACTTTCTTTTAAGGCAGGTTCCTATGCTTTTAAAACAAACCCAAAAACAGTGTGAGAGCTACCTCCCCTCATCTTTCACATAGATGTTTCCTGTGTGATGTACTTGCTTTGATCAGGGTTCCTCACTGTAAGTTATTTGATATTTCATCTCTTTTCCTACCTATCAGATTTTTCTACTGGGATGTAGGCTATAGAAAGAAGGGATTGATAACCAAAATAGTGGTATTCTTCAGTCCACTATAATTTTGTGGGTCATTTAGCTATAATTTGGAGGAGTGGGAAACAGACCCACCTTTTTCTTTTGTGAACTCCTGTTGAAAGCAAACAAATGCATAAGATGAATATTTAGAAATAGAATTACCAGGAGATTGGCAGAATAAAGTAAACAGAGGGCGGGGCGGACAAAAAAAAAAGAATTGCCAGGAACCTTACAACCAATGCAAAGTCATCTTTTTCATTTTTGCTCTTGTTATGTGCCATGGAGTTGCCTGTGACTCATAGTGACCCTAAGTACAATAGCTCTGAACTCTGCCCTATCCTGAGCCAGTCTTACTATCTCTGACACACCTACCCCCATTACCCAGTTATTGTGTTAATCTATCTCATCAATTCCAATTTTTTCTTTTATGGCTTTTTGATAGTAATGAGTCTTGTAAGATTGCAGGTGTTAAAGTTTATTTTATGCCTCAGTAGACTGTCTAGAATATTTATATTATCTGTAAAGGCGCTAATGATAGAGCTACCACTCTGATTCACATTGGCCTTTTGTCTTTGGTGGTAGCATACCAGAGTAGGCAAGCACCATCCTGTGTGTGTTCTTAACCTTGGACCTGTTCTTCAGGGCACAAATAGGAAAAATACAAGATTGTTATGCAGCAGTTACTACATCAAATCCACATCTTCCCTTGTGGAGCTCTAGAAACTGATGTTTGCTAAGCTGTTTTGACCTGTGTATGGAAAATTAGAATAAAAGTTTCTCTGATGTAGTCCTTTATTGCAGAGGAAAAATGAGACTAAAGGACAGATGAACATGAACAAGAAGTCTGTGGTTATCTGGTTTGTCTCTTTCTGAAATTCATAGCAGTACTGTTCTGACAGTTCACTTTTCTCTCCCGTCTTCATTGGACATCTTCATTTTCAACACATAGAATCTCAGTGGGAAGAAACTTTGGAAGTTAGTGATCCATCCAGCCTCTCATGAATTGAAAGCAAGCTCTCTGGTAGCAGTATAGATGATCTTCCAACATTGTTTTAGATACCTCACTGCCAACCATTGTCAAACAGTCCAGAGGTTCTACACTTACTGGTTCACAGGCCCTAGGATTTCAGTATCTTTTTAAAAAATATTATTGGGCTAAAAGAAGATAAAAGAACTTTGTTAGGTAGTTAGGTCCAAACAGTTGAAGTGTAATTAAACCTGTGCATTGTAGAATCTCTGCAAGGTGGAAACCTGCTGGAGAGAGAAAAGTCAAATGTTTCACACTAAAATGAGCAATGTAAAAGAAAAACACCTCCCTTACAGTAGTATTGTATCCTATTATACTGCATCTCATCAAAGATGGAAAACTTTGGAGACCTGGACAAACAGGGCAGTCCTGCTGAGTGCTGCTTTCCACAGTTCTCTATATTTACATCTTCCTAACTTGTGTGTCACTGAATAGGTTTTCAGAGAAAAATTGCATGGGAGATTGCCCACCTTTCACCTACGGAGCAACTGGTAGATAGGAGCTGCCTGCCTATGGTGGGTTGGCAGTGCAACTCCTTAACACTAAGCCACTACAGCTCCTCTAAGTGCATAAAAAATTGCCTAACTAGTGAATAGTATATGTCTTTTAGACCTAGCCCAGTTTCTCAGAGGTTGAAATCCTGTTAAACACTAACACCCTCATTTCCTGTTCCACTTTTATAAGATGCTTTCTTTTTGGATTAACAGTGAAATTCCCAGTGAGACTCTGACACCACAGCTTCCTGAGGTACTTGGCTTTTTATTGTTGTTGTTGTGCCAGCGAGTTGAAATTGACTCATAACTGACCTGCAGCAGGTTTTTCAGAGGCCGTAAGTCTTATGGGAGTAGATTGCCTGTCTTTCTCTCATGAAGCAGCTGGTGGATTTGAACCACTGCCTTTGGGTTGGCAATACAACTCCATACCCACTAGACCACCAGAGTTTATCACAGTATCATTAAAACCCGGTTTTACAGAGATATACAGTATCTTTAGTTGTTTGCTTATATAACTTTGTATTGGGATATGAGTGAAAGTTTACAAGAGCAGACTGTTATTTCATTCATATGTATTTTGGTTTTGGTACAGTCTCCACATTGTATCACCAGTCTTCCCACCATCTCTCTGTGGTTCTTGTTTCCGTTCATTTTTCCATCTTCTCCTTTTGTATCTTCTGAGTTTTATCCTTACACAGATACTGCCCTGGTGATTCTGTGCAGTCGATTGTTCTAAGGACTGAGAACCTCTCCCTGGTATTACTGTTCACATTATAGATCTCTTGTTTGGCCACAAGTTAAAGTGCCACGGGGGGTGATACCTCAGGGCAGTGTAGCCTTGAGGATTCCGCCACTCCCTGAGATCAGTAAGCCTGGCTATTATGGTGATTTTGAATT